TAAAGAAGAAATATGTACTACAATAAAAGAGGCTACTATAGAACTAAGAGCCAGAATCTCTACTTTAAAACTTAAAACTGACTCTCAGATTGCACTTGACTACTCCACAAAACAGATTATACAAGAAGAGGACTTAACTGAGGATAAAGAGAATTTTACTTTGCCCTACAAGCAAGACCAGGAAAAGCAAAGACTGAATTTTGAAATTTTGAAGCAACGAGGCCCTATGGACAAGAAAAATAGAGGATCAAACCAGAGATCAAGATGGCCTGCATTGAATCAAGTGACACTACAAGCAGCAAAACCCTGAGTTTACACTTATATACTATTCTACTAGAACCAAATATTTACTTGAAACCAACTTTTCCCAACCTAGTTGCCTTCCAGGTTATTGAATTACAATTTGAATAACCAACCATTAGCTAGTGGCATCCTGAGAGAGTTATAGTTTTGAAATATTTTAAGTCCAGTTCAAAACTCAATATCTTCAAAATACACAAGGAATTCTTATTACGTATCAGTATGGCAAGTTTGCATGTATAGAATTTCTGCCTAAATATTCAGGTTTATATAGAAATAATCTTTGAATCAGGTTGTGGACTCTTTAATAAGAGACTTTATAATTTGTTCATATATTAGGTTTATATTTTGTCAAGAGTATTAGGTGGCATAGAATAGCATTTCATTGCCCCCATTTTTCTTCACAGATATAAGTTCAGGAGGTAGAGTGAGTTGAGAGTGAGTGACTACCCAAAATTATCCAATATGTTTATGTAGGCTGAAGGTAGACTTGAATCTGGGTCTCCCCAATTAAACAACTAAATGATGGCGGCTGTCAGAATGTGATACCAGGCTATAAATACTTACTAATATTAGTATCCTAATGTTTTATTTTGTAATTAACTTTAATTGCTGATATTTTATTCAAAAATATGTTCTTTTAGCTTATTGCAGAGGAATTCAGCCATAAAATGTTTCAGAAGTTTGGACCTCATCCTGGACCAGGTAATATATAAACTAGGTATTTCTAACTAAATATATAATCAACTAATAAACAAATCTTAGTGTAGCTGATCTCTGAGCAATTACCATAACAATGGCTTTGTGTATATGAAATCTTGTATTTATCTTACATAGTTAAGAACTTTAATTTAAAACCTTTTTATGATTCTGGATAATCTCTGTATAACAAAAGATATTGTTGGCCACACTTTTGTTCTTAAGATGATTTAGTAAGGCATCTTTGCCTTTTTGTACATTATGGAGCTTCAAATTATAAATAATTTTTCCATTATTTGTCAAAGTAAGAGAAATGTGAAGTCTGTCCCTGATTCCAGCATGCATTTCAATTTTATACATACCTCTGAAGCATATGAAAATCAGTGAGATTTATTGTATAAGGTTAGGCTAACGAATATTTTCCAAATATCCCTCCCAATATTGTTTTACTATGAGCAATATTTTATATATCCAATTTTGTGCAAAGAGTTGGCATTGTTATTCTCTCTTACATAGCGAAGAGACCAGCCCAAGGACAAAACTTAGCCTCTGCTGCACCTGCTCACAAAATTACTAAACCTGCTGCTAAATACGGAGTGCCTTTAATACTTAAGAAATCTGAGGATTCAGCTAAGAAATTCTGTGAGAAGCCTATAACTAAATGTAGACAGGTGAGAGCCTATTTAACAATAAAAGTATTTTCAATCTTTGGGGATAGAAAAAGGGTACATTTATTACTGAAATATGTAATACATATTTCCACTGACTTTTACTTGTATTTAATTGAAGATGAAATATGCATCATATTTGACCCAGTGTATAATGTCAATTAATGGTTAAAACAGCTGTGAAGTAGAGCAAGTAGAGTGTCATTTTCATATAAGTTTCTTATTTAAAACGGCAGTAATTCAGAATCCTGCCAGTAAATATTCCTGAAAAATCTAAAATACATAATATCTAAAAGCAATAGGTTGTGACTAAATGGAACCAAGTGTTTAACTTCTAAAAGTTCAAAATAGTGCAGTTTAGTGGGTCTTCTTGAATATATTGTAACATTATGGCAATATATGCAATATATTACAGTACGTTAAATGTTCGCTGTTCAACCTCATACCTTTCTATTCAAAGTAGGACATGGATATTTAATCGACTAACAGTTAACTGTATCAAATTAAGGTTGAGAAGTATAAAGTTCAGTTGCCACTAACTTATATGCTTGGACAAGTCATTTATTTTTAGATTAGTGTACTTCATCTGATTAATAAAAGGTTGAAAAATGTGGATAAAAGAGTGTGCAGGTTGATGAATCTCCTTGGTGGAGAGGCAACGTTTGAAATAAAGTCATTGTATTACACATTACCATATTTAAATTTCTAGGTTAGATCTGGTCTATATTGTACTACCAGCAAAAATGCAAATGAGTTAACTCCAGAGCTTGTCTGAGTTGGCTTTTTCTTTAATGGCCTTTAGATATCATCAAAGTTATATTTTTGTCTAATCTGCTCGTAGATACATGTTTTAATCCCCCAGCTTTTGAATAGGTCAATTATTACTTTTGATCGGGTGTTTTAGATTGTATAATTGTTTTTAGATGCTTTGGCCATTATGTAGTATAAATATTTTTTTAGAAAAGATCTGTGCCTGAGGCTTTTAATAGAGTGTGTGTGTGTGTATGTATGTATGTATGGTACAAAATAAAAATGCGAACACCAGGAGAATATAAGACAGTTAAAAGTTTAGTAAAAACCTTAAAAACTTTTAAAAGCATACAATCATAGGGGCCAAGCTTTCGTCGGATCCTTCCGACATCCTCAGGGCACAAAGTCAATCAATGGGAAAAGCAGTTATAAATAAACCGACGCCTGCATCCGGGCCCTAGATC